CAGTCTGGGCAACAGAGTGCGACTCCAACTCAAAAAAAAAAAAACAACTGAGAATCAGGCTGGGTGTAGTGGCTCATGCCTATAATCCCAGCACTTTGGGGGGAGGCTGAGGTGAGAGGATTGCCTGAACCTGCGGGTTCGAGACCAACCTGGGCAACTTGGCAAGACCTTATCTCCACAATAAATAAAGAATTAGCCGGGCGTGGTGGCATGTGCCTGTAATTCCAGTTGCTTGGAAGGCTGAGGTGGAAGGATCACCGGAGCCCAGCAGGTTGAGGCTGTGGTGGCAGTGAGCGTGCCACTGCACTCCAGCCTGAGCAACAGAGTGAGACTCCAACTCAAAATAAAAAGTGAGAATCACACTGAACCATTTATTTATTTATTTATTTTGAGTTGGAGTCTCAACTGTCACTCAGGTTGGAGTACGGTGGCACACTCACGGCTTCTGCAGCCTCCACCTGCTGGGCTCAGGTGATCCTCTGACTCAGTCTTCCAAGTAGCTGGAACCATAGGTGCATGCCACCGTTCCAGAGGCTTTTTTTGTTTTTTGTTTTTGATTTATTGTGGAGATGAGGTCTTGCCAGGTAGCCCAGAATGGTCTTGAACCCATGGACTCAGGCAGTCCTCTCTCCTCAGCCTTCCAAAGTGCTGGGATGACAGGCATGAGCCACTGTGCCTGCCTCACACAGAATCTTTTTATCTTTTATTTTGTTTATTTACACAAATTTTTTTACCTACATGGAAATGTTTACATTTATGGTTGTTTATCTAGGTATTTCCTTCAATAGATTCATGGGTTAAATATACATATTTAAATGAGTTCTTACATTTCTTTAAATGCTGCTTATTTTAAATTCTCTTGTTCAGGGTTTGTCAATGAGGCAGATCAGATTCCGATTTGACGGGCAGCCAATCAATGAAACAGACACACCTGCACAGGTAAAACAAATCTCTGTGCTAGTTAGAAAATTATTGTTTTCTGATTTTTCAACAACTTTGTTTATAAATTTGTGATCTTACAGTCATTGGAATATAGTCTTGCAGAGTTTAAAGCTATGTGAAATATAGGCAAAGGGGAACAGAAAGGAAAAAAATAGGAATAGATTCAGGAAATGCCAGTGCCTTTTAGATAATCCTATTATCACTCAGTAAAGGAAATAAGTCATTCAATTTAGTCAATCCCATTTTTTTCCTACTATAACAACATTATTTGGAGAAAATAATTAAAACTCCTGTCTGTTTCTTCAGGAGTTGTTCATGTAGTTGTTTTTGTTTCTGCAACCCTTAATCATGCTTCGGGTTCTTCACAGGTGATTGGCTGTATATCCTGACCAAGCTTGTTATGTCATATTGAATTCTTGTTTGCCTGTCCATGTGAACAATGGGAAGTAATGGCTCTTTTACATCCCTTGGTAGTTTAGTTTGACAGGGAGAACACTTGGTAATGAGTGACTTTCCAAACCCTTATTGCAAAGTGATGCTCTCTGATGACTTAATCTTGTTACATATCACTTCATTTTGTTCTCTCACTTTGTGTGGGATCAGCTGGATGGTCTCCTGTGGCAGAAACTGTTTTTTTTACACTATCAGACTGAAAGACTTCCTATGCCACATGTGGTGACTTAACGCCTATAATCCCAGCACTTTGGAAGGCAGAGGCGAGAGAATTGCCTGAGCCTACGGGTTCGAGATCAGCCTAGGCAGCTTGGCGAGCCTCATCGCTACAATAAATCAGAAAATTAGCCTGGCATGATGGTGCATATCTGTAGTTCAGCTACTTGGAAGGCTGAGGTGGAGCAACGGTCCGAGCCCAGCAGGTCAAGGTTATGATAGCCGTGATCATGCCACTGTACTCCAGCTTGGGTACTAGACTGAGACTCCAACTGAACAACAAGCCTTTCACTCTAGCCTGGTGCAGTGGCTCAGCCTGTAATCCCGCGCCTCTAGGAGGCTGAGGTGAGTGGATTGCCTGAGCCTGCGGGTTCAAGACCCGCCTGGGAAACTTGGCGAGACCTTATCTCTACAATAAATCAAAAATTAGCCGGGCATGGTAGCGCACGCCTGTAGTTCCAGTTACTTGGAAGGCTGAGGCGGAAGGATTGCCAGAGCCCAGCAGATGGAGGCTGCGGTGGCCGGGAGTGGCCACTGCACTCCAGTCTGGGCGACAGAGTGAGACTCGAACTAAAAAAAAAATAATAATAATCCCAGCATTTTGGGAGGCAAAGGCGAGAGGATTGCCTCAGCCCGTGGGTTCAAGATCAGTCTGCACAACATGGCGAGACCTCATCTCTACGATAAATCAAAAAATTCACTGGGTGTGGTGGTGTGTGCCTATAGTTCCAGCTACTTGGAAAGCTGAAGCAAAAGGATTACTGAACCCAGCAGGTCGAGACTGGTGGCCCTGAGCGTGCCACTGCACTCCAGCCAGTGTGACAGAGTAAGACTCTAAGTCAAAAATTAAAAAAAAAAAAAAAAAAAAGACTTCTGCTCTTGGGGAAAAAAGTATTTTGAAATACTGTGTTTCGATGTCCAGAAGACTGGGGAAAAAATTACACTATGTTAGCAAGAATTTAATTTGAAATCCTTGTAGTTTTTTCTTTTCTTTTAATTTAGGGTCTCACTCTACACTAGAGTGTAGTGACATCATCACAGCTCACCACAGTCTTTGCCTGGGCTTGAGGAGTTCATCCACCCTAGCCATCTGACTAGCTGGGAATTCAGACGTGTATCATCGCTAGTTTTTCTGTTTGTAGTGATGGGGTTTCACTATGTGACCTAGGCTGATCTCAAACTCCTGGGTTCAGTCAGTGCTCCCCTAGCCTCAGCCTTCCAAAGTGCTGAGGTAACAGTTGTGACAGCCACGTCCAGCCTCTTTGTACTTTTATTTATTTATTTATTGAGTTAAAGTCTCCATTGCCCAGACTGGAGTGCAGTGGCACTCTCACAGCCACCCTGGTGTTGACCTGCTGGGCTCAGGCAATCTTTCTGCTTCAGCCTTCCAAGTAGTTGGAACTACACAACAGGTGCATGCTGCCATACCCAGCTAGTTTTTAAAAAAATTATTGTAGAAGCCGGGCTCAGTGGCTCAGTCTATAATCTCGCGCTTTGGGAGGCTGAGGTGAGTGGATTGCCTGAGCCTGTGGGCTCGAGACCTGCCTGGACAACTTGGTGAGACCTCATCTCTACAATTAAAAAAATTAGCCAGGCGTGGTAGCGCGCTCCTGTAGTTCCAGCTACTTGGAAGGCTGAGGCAGAAGGATTGCCAGAGCCCCAGCAGGTCAAGGCTGCGGTGGCGGGAGCGGCCACTGCACTCCAGTCTGTGCAAGAGTGAGACTCCAACTCAAAAAAATAAAATAAAAAATAAATAAAATTTATTGTGGAGACGGGGTCTTGCCGAGTTGCCCAGGCTGGTCTCAAACTCACAGACTCAAGCAATCTGCTCACCTCGACCTCCCAAAAAACTGGGATTACAGGCTTGAGCCACTGTGCCCTGCCTCCTTGTACTTTTAATTTCAACTTTATCACCTAATAAAAACTAGAAAGTAACAAATGTGGTAGGAGCAAAGTAGCACATCCCAATTGTAGTTTTATTGGTAATCTTGAAAGATATGAAATGTTGGCTAGTTGTGGTGGCTCATAGCCTGCAATCGTGGCACTTTGGGGAACTGGGGTAATGGGATTGCTTGAGCCCAGGAGTTTGAGACCAGCCAAGGCAACATTGTTAGACGTCATCTCTACAAAAATTAGTCAGGTACTACACCCCTGTAGTCCCAGCTACTCAAGAAGCTGAGGTGGGAGGATTGCCTGAGCCCAAGAGGTCGAGGATGCTGTGAGCCTTGATTATTGTGGCACTACATTCCGGCCTGGGCAACAGAAAGACCCCAACTCAAAATAAGTGAAATGTCTATGACTTGGACTTAAGGGAAGACTATTTTGAAGAAATTTCCACTGGTAACACTTTTTTTTTTGAGTTGGGGTCTCTGTCACCCACACTGGAGTGCAGTGGCCGCTCCCGGCCACCGTAGCCTCGACCTGCTGGGCTCCGGCGATCCTTCCGCCTCAGCCTTCCAAGTAGCTGGAACTACAGGCGTGCGCTACCACGCCCGGCTGATTTTTTGATTTATTGTAGAGATGAGGTCTTGTCAAGTTGCCCAGGTGGGTCTCGAACCCGCGGGCTCAGGCAATCCACTCACCTCGACCTCCCAAAGTGCTGGGATTACAGGCTGAGCCACCGAGCCCCGCCACTTTTTTTTTTTTTTTTTTTTGAGTCAGTCTCACTCTGATGCCCAGGCTCTGGAGTGCAGTGGCATGCTCACAGCCACTGCAGCCTGAACCAGCTGGGCTCAGGTGATCCTTCTCCCTCATCCTTCCAAGTAACTGGATCCACAGGTGTGCACTGCTACACCCGGCTATGTTTTTGATTTATTGTGGAGATGAAGTCTCACCAAGTTGCCCAGGCTAGACTCGGGCAATCCTCTAGCCTCCACCTCTCAAAAGTGCTGGGATTACAGGCGTGAGATACTCAGGTGGTGACACTCTTATAAAGTAATTGTAGTAGGTAGCCACAAGGGGGAGCTAAATTCCCTTGATAAATGAGAGGGAAAATTATTATTTTGGGGGGGGTGGTTGGAGTCTCTGTCACCTAGCTGGAGTGCAGTGGCATGCTCACAGTCACTGCAGCCTTGACCTTCTGGGTTCAGTAATCCTTCCGACTCAGCCTTCCAGGTAGCTGGAACTACAGGCGCAAGCCACTATGCCCAGCTGGTTTTTTTAAAAAAAATTTTTTTTTTTTTTTTTTTGAGTTGAAGTCTCACTCTGTTGCCCAAACTGGAGTGCAGTGGCCGCTCCCGGCCACCGCAGCCTCAACCTG